GGAACCGGGGATTGAACTCAGGCCCTTGCACTTGCCAGACAAGCACTTATTCTTACTGAGCTATCTCCCCGGCCCATGGTAAAATGTTAATGGTTTGGCTATATTGGGTCAAAAATCATCGTGAAACCCGTCCCTACTTGTTTGTTTCTTTTGACCTTTTCAATGTGACTACTAGAAACGCATCATATTATATTGCAGCATAGCTCTAGATAATTGAAGCACTGTACTTTCTGGCTTTGCAACTTTTGTGTGTATGTATTAGAACGTAGGCGATCCCGATCTGCTTCCCGGGAGAGAGAGCGTCGGCGCCGGGAGAGGTCCCGATCGCGGGAGAGAGATCGCAGGAGAAGCCGCTCTAGGTCTCCACACCGGCGGCGCTCCAGGTGGGTGGGAAACAGAAACCAAGGAGCTCTGCGCGGAGCTGCAGAGAAGCCGGGTCACTGCTCTGACTTTTGTTTTTATCACGTATTAAGCGATTCACAGCATAATGAAATGGAGGAAACGTAACCGCACTTTATTCTTACTGGGAGTCGAACTTGGGACCTTGTACTTGCCAGGCAACGTGCCACTGAGCCCTGGCCCCAATCCCATTTTATTCTAAAGTTAATAATCCCTTAGCAAAATGGAGTTACACTCAAGTCAAAAAACAAGTATTTTGTATTTTTGTTGTTTTCAATTAACCTTTTGATGCCAACAATTTACACACACCTGGTAGTCTATAATAGAAAATCTTAACCATTAACTCAGTTAATAAGCATCAGTTGCTGTTTAAGTGGGGTTTAGGAGATTTGTTTGTAATTGTTAGAAACTTTTAAGACAGTTTTTTCTGCCTCATGAAAAACATTCTAACCTTGAATGCTACACTGAATGCAACTAAAGACAAAGGAGCAACCTGTTTTGTTTAATTTTTATGTATTTGGTACAGGGTCTCACTATACAGCTTGGACTCGTGATCCTCCTGTTTCAGCCTCCCCAGTGCTGGGATTACAGGCCTGCGCCACCACGCCCAGCCTTGGTGGCTGGCTCAGTGTGCCTCAGGGGTGGGACCAGCACAGCGTGTGGTACTGGGGATTGAACCCGAGTCTTTGAGCTTGCCAAGCAGGCAGTCAGACCACTGAGCTATCTCTGCAACCTGTATTTTTAATAGGGTCAGAGCCACCCAGGCAGAACCTTTTTCTCACTCTGCTCTGGGGAGTGTCTGGGTCTGGTTCTGTTTAGCCTTGACCTCCCAAGAATCATGTATGTTTGTGTTTATCAACAGAGTTGCCATGTATGTCAGTTTCTAATACCTTTCTGTATAAATACTAGATCTCCACGGCGACATAGATCCACATCTCCTTCTCCTTCACGCCTGAAAGAAAGAAGAGATGAGGAAAAGAAAGAAACAAAGGAAACAAAGAGCAAAGAACGTCAGATTACTGGTAATGTTATCAGACAAATGGTCTTGTTTAGAAAATTTCAGTCATGATAGAATTATGGAAGTTTAAGTTTTAGACACTTCAGTAGTAAGCTTTCTATAGTGTTCATTGCATATGGTTTTGAGATTTTTATTGTTCCTTATAAAGTTCACTAAGTGCTGGTTATGTGTGGTGCTCCTGATAGGGAAGGGTGCTAGGAAGGGTAGTTTAAAACATGAGAATATTCTGTTTACCAACTAGGTAATGTTGGGCAGGCATGTATATAGCTTAACAGCACAAGCACCTTCCTGGCAAGCACAAGGTCCTAAGTTCAATTCTCTGTACCAAAACCCCTAGGTAATGTCCCTTCTGGTATTAGAGGTGGTCCTGCCTAAGACCCCAGGGAAGGAGTCCAGTCTTGTCTTATACCCTAAGTTGCATTCTGAGTTGTTGTTTTTTTTTTTTTAACTTTCTGTCTGAATTTCAGGGGACTTTTTCTCATTAGATGTATCTTTCTTTTTGCATGTTCTCTGCTAGTGAGATGGAATATCTTAATCTCTTGCTGTTCCTCATATTTGTTTATATATGTTTTCAAAAATGATATGAGAGTTCAAAAAAATGTGAGACTTTCTTTTTGGGGGGGAGCTTTCCTCCTGTGTTTTTTTGTTTTTGTTTTTGTTTTTTTTTTTCAGAACTGGGGGTTGAACTCAGGCCCTTGCCACGCAAATGCTTATTCTACTGAGCTGTCTCCTCAGCCCCTTCCTTTTGTGTTTTGAGAGAGTCTCACTGTGTAGTCCAGGCTGGTCTTGAACTCACTGTGTGATCCAAGCTGGCCTCAAACTCCTAAAATATTGTTATTTTTACAGAGGAAGATTTAGAAGGCAAAACAGAGGAAGAAATAGAAATGATGAAGTTAATGGGATTTGCCTCTTTTGACTCCACAAAAGTAAGTAAAACATAAAACCAGTTAAACATTCTGATTTGAATTAATGTGTTTTGCCTGTCCTGTTTTCCCGTATTCTTTTACTATCACTTAAAATTTCTTTAGCCGTAACATATTAACTTCCTGGTTAAAGGAGTTGAGAGCACAGAATAGTAAGCATTGGAATGTCATTGCAATTCAAGGAATATTGTCAGAGTTGATATTTTAGTTAGATCTTTGTTTTTTCCTTTTTGAGACAGGGTCTTACTAAGCAGTTCAGACTGGTCTTGAGCTCACTTTGTAGCCCAGGCTGGTCTTGAACTCTTGATGATCCTCTTACCTCAGCCTCCTGAGTGCTGGGATTATAGGTGTGCACCACCATGCCTGGCTCAATTTTAGTTAGATCTTAAAGAATGAGTAGAGGTTAATTAGATAAAAAGAGGAGGAAGCTGTGTAGTTGTATGCCCTGTAGTTGTGTAGGTGTATTCTGGGAATTTCAAATCCAGTGACTGGTTAAAGGATGCTGGAGAGGTAATGGTTGTGACTGTGGCTACAAGTGGAAGTCAGAATCAGATTATGGAGGGCTTTAGTTGCATGCCCAGGGACAGGGCTGGTGCAGCACGTGGTGCTGGGGATCAAACCCTGGTCCCTGTGTTTGCCTAAGCAGGTGCTTAGTCTGCTGAGCTATCTCACCAGCCCTTAATAGTATTGTTTTTATTTATTCTGTTTTGATTTAATTTAATTTAATTTTTTTGTATTTTTTAGGAAAGGGTCTACAGGGTGTTCAGGGTCTCACTACTAGATCAGACTCATAATGATCCGCCTATTTACAGCCTCCCAAGAGCTGGGATTACAGGCGTACACCACCATGCCCAATCTCAATTGCTCACTTAGTGCACCCCTGGGGCAGGGCTAGCATGGCAGGCCAGGGGATTGAACCCCTGGCCCCTGCACCTGCTTGCAGGTGCTTTAATCTGTTGAGCTATTTGGCTGGCCCTGATATTACTGTTTTTAGAAGAATAAGAAAGGAATTTGTTAGAAATATGTCTTTTGGGGGCTGGGGAGATGGCTCAGTGGAATAAGCACTTCCCTGGCAAGCACAAGGGCCTGAGTTCAATCCCCAGTCCTGCCAAAAAAAAAAAAAAAAAAAAAAGAAATATGTCTTTTGTTCTTATTTGGTTTTATTGTGGCCTGATTTGTATATGAAGTTCCTGAGAGGTGTAAAAATGGAGCTACCCTGTCAGTACTGAAGGTATTTAATTGCAAAGGAAACATTAGATCCTATAAAAATTGTGGCGTACCATGTGATCATTTAGTGTTAGGGGTTTTTTTTGGTCCTGTTCTCTTTTGTTTTGTTTTTTCTTTTTTTGACTGGCTGGTGTGGCATGTGGTGCTAGGGATCAAACCATGGTCCCTGCACTTGCCTAAGCAGGCGCTTTAGTCCACTGAGCTATCTCACTGGCCCCTGTCCTGCTCTGAAGATGGAACCCAGTGCATCTAGCCCTGTGCATGCTAGATAGTTCCTCTATCCCTGAGCAATACCCCCATACCAGTTGTTTTCCAAGACCTCTCCAGGGTATCAATTTAGTTCATGTGCTGTTGGCTTCATGACTGTCAGTTATAAGGTCTCTTCCCTTATTCTTGTTTCAATAATATATATCTTACAATATTTCTATCATTGATCTGCTGTTGGACCTTTTCCTTTTTTTAACATGGTTCTGGGAACACAAGCCATCCCATGGTAGGCAGACACTCTGCCACTGACCTACACTCTAGCCCTATGGTGAGGCCTTTTCAAATGCCAGTGTGGTCCTGTATTTTCCCTTCTACTTTAAAATTTTTCTAGAGATATTCATCATTTGGTTATATTAGGAATGGATAATTTTCTCTCCTAACATGTAAATAAATCAGAATGGGACAATATACAATTCTTTCCAAGCTTCTAAAAATCAGTTAGCCTTTAGAAATTGAATTTAATAAAAAGATTATCATTGCCAATAAAGTGGCATATTGTCTAGCTACTTGGGAAGATAGCAGTTTTGAATCTGGGCAGCCTGGGCAACTTAGTGAGGTCCTGCCTCAAAAAATAAAAGAGACCAGGGATGTAGGTCAGAGATAGAGCACTTGCCTAGGTGTGTAAGGCCTTCAGTTCAGTTGCTAGCACTACCAAAAAAATGAGTGTCATTTATTTTCAAGGCCAGTATTTCCAAATTATGCTATCTTCTATTCATAGGAGATCATAATCATACTTCAAATGATTTCCTTTCCTTTCCATGAAAATAGATGAAAACCGAAATAGAAAATTGAGTGCAGAATATTTCCCTTTCTAATACTCTCTATGTATCCAATGTAGCTGTCCACAATGTCTGTCTTTCCCCTTTCCTCTGTCTTCAAATAAATTATCTTAGGGCTGGCCAGATAGCTCAGCAGACTAAAGCGCATGCATAGACAGACTCAGGGATGGGGGTTTGATCCTTGGTGGGCTGTGCTAGCCCTGCCCCCAGGATACACTGAGACTGAGACTGAGACTGAGAATGGGCATGGTGGTGCACGCCTGTAATCCCAGTGCTTGGGAGACTGAAAACAGGAGGATCACTATTAGTCTGATCTGTGTAGTGAGACCCTCTAGACCCAGTACTAAATACATAATAAATAAATAAATAAATAAATAAATCTTTATCGAAAGAGAAAAAAACAAAAAAAAGCTGAGTTATGCATATTAATTTTAGCTCCACTTCAAATTCATAGCTTACCTTGTCTTTGGGCAAGTGAGTCCAAATCTTTGTTTCTTCCCTAATGCAGAAGTCTAAGGGTATGCTACACAGATAGACTGTAGTGAGTACTCATGAGTGTGTGTGTGTGTGTGTGTGTATGTGTGTGTATGTGGGGGGGTTTTATGTATTTGGTACAGGGTGTCACTACACAGCTCAGACTCATGATCCCCTTATTTTCAGCTCCCTAGCACTGGGATTATAGGCGTGCATCACCACGCCCAGACGCGGTGGCTTGCTCAGCTCGTCCCAGGAGCAGGGCTGATGCATCATGTGGGTCAGGGAGCAAATCCTGTTCCCTGCACTTGCCAAAGCAGGTGCTTAGTCTGCTGAGCTATCTCATTGCTGAGCTATATTGCTGGCCTTGTTTCTTGACTTTAGGTAGTGATATTCATGTAACAATCTTTTCTTTTTTCTTTTTGCCTTTTTGGGAAAGGGTCTCACTGTGTAGCTCAGGCTGATCTTGAGCTCACTTTGTAGCCCAAGCTGACCTTGAGCTCACAATGATCCTCCTGCCTCAGCTTCCCAAGTGCTGGGATTACAGACTTGGGCCATCATACCCAGTTTAGCAGTCATTTCTTTGACCTTCTGTTGCAGTAGTGTAGAATATGAGAATACAAATGGGACTCTCGGATATATCCATATCCTTCCCTTAAGGTGTAGTCATAGGGGCTGGGGAGATAGCTCAGTAGCATAAATGCTTGTCTGGCAAGCACAAGGTCCTCAGTTCAATCCCCAGTACCGCACAAAAGAAAAAAAAAAAGATTTCACATATGCAAAAAAATATTTTGGGGCCAGGGAGATGGCTCAGTAGAATAAGCTCTTGCCTGGCAAGCGCAAGGCCTGAGTTCAATCCCTGGTTCTGCTAAAAAAAAAGCAGCTTGTCGTCAAATGTGGCACACACCAGGAATCCTAGCACTCTAGGAGGGTTGCCCTAACTCTGAGTACCTGGGCTGGTAAGATAGCTCAGCGGTCTAAAGTACCTGCTTAGGCAAGCTTAGGCAAGTGCAGAGACCATGATTCAATCCCCAGCAACACATGCTGTGCCAGCCCCGCCCCCAGGGCAAGCTGACTGAGCTGGCCACACACACACACAGTCTGAGTACCTTAGTGACTTAGTGAGACCCTGTCTCAAAATAAAAAAAACAAAACAAAACTGAGTACCCAGTACAGCAAAAAAAAAAAAAAAAACCAAAAAAAACCAAAACAACTTGTACTTTCATAGGAAAAATAACATCATGACTTACAGTTCTTTTTTTTTTTTCCTGGAGCTGGGGACCTGGGGATCGAACTAAGGCCCTTGTGCTTGCCAGGGAAGCGCTTATTCCACTGAGCCATCTCTCTAGCCCAACATTTCTTTTTCAGTAACCTACATTTTAATAAAAGCTAGTCATGAGGGCCAGCAAGATAGCTCAATGGACTAAACACCTGCTTAGGCAAGTGCAGAGACTGGGGTTCGATCCTCAGCAGCATATGCCACATGGGCCCCACTCCTGGGCATGCTGAGCTGGCCACTGAGACCAGGTATGGTGGTGCATGCCTATAATCCCAGTGCTGGGGAGGCTGAAAACAGGAGGAGCACTATGAGTCTGAGCTGTGTAGTGAGACCCTCTACCAAATACATTAATAAAGTAAAAAATAAATAAAGTTAGGCATGGTGGTGCATACCTGTAATCCCAGCACTAGGGAGGCTGAGGCAGGAGAATTGCTTAGTGAAACACCAGCCTGGGGTACATAATAAGTTCAAGACTAGCTGGTCTACAGTGAGACTCTGTCTCAAAAAAAAAAAAAAAAAAAATCATAATTATAATAGGTAAAATGTAAGATGCTGTGTAGAAAGTCCAGTCAATGTTTAGGAGTTTAGAAAAAACTGCATTACCCGGCAGCTGGACAGTTTGAGTTAGCCCTTGAACGATAGCGAAGAACCAGATAGTTGATTAAATGGGACAAGGCAGGTGGTCTGGCAAGAGGAACAGCATGGGAATAGGTGGGTATGGTGAGTGCACTTGGCTGGATCTAAAGGAGCTGGAAAAGAACAGAGGCACTACTTTTAGAAAGACCAAAGTCTAACGGCTTAACTGTAGTGTCCATTGTTCTGTATGCTGCTTCTTGACTTAAAGATCAAGATGCGCAGGATTGTGCAAGAAATGGAATCAGAAAAATGGAGACTATTTGAGCTGTGACTTAGCAATATTATGAGCTACAGTTATAGGTTAAATTTTGTGTGAAGGTCAATTTTTCTGGAGATAATGTGCACAATGTTTATCTGGTTTCAGAAGATTATTTGACCCAAAAAGATTAGGATTGGCTACCCAACTTACCATTGTAATTTGCACATAATACGTGTGCTATGATTGTTTGCTGATTTGAACATTGTACTTGTTTATGTGTGACTATAAAAATGTGTGCAGAGTTGTTATGTACTTGAGAGTTCATGGGATATCAGGTTTTAAAAGTCCTTATATTGGACTTTTTTTTTCCTCTTTACTGGATTTAGCTATTTAAGTGTGTCAGTATGATCTGCCTCTTTGATCTAGGTGTATAATATATCCTCCCTATTGTTTTTTATTTTTTGTTTTTCTCCAGGGGAAGAAGGTAGATGGGTCTGTAAATGCATATGCCATAAATGTATCTCAGAAGAGGAAGTACAGGTATGCATAGATCCCCATTTTGTTTGAACTATTAAAATCAATTGCACATGTCTAAAAAACCCTTATAAATGGCTAATCATGTTTATTTATGAAATATATCAGTTTTCCATGCTTTCCTTTATTGAAGTATCCTCCTTATATTTTGGTTTTTTTTTTTTTACGTTTATTTAGTGTGTGTGTGTGTGTGTGTGTGTGTGTGTGACCAGCTCAGCCCACCAGGGGGCGGGGCTGGCCAGCATGTGGTGCTGGGGGATCAAACCTTGGTCCCTGCGCTTTGCCAAGCTTGTTCTAAGTAGGTGCTTTAGACCACTGAGCCATCTCTCCAGCCCCATCCTCCTTATATTTTGGTATGTTAAAATTCTTTTCCAGTTTATGTGGACCAAATAGCTACCATAGACAGGCATAATCAGCTTAAATGCTCTAGGACTGTTGGTAATAAATTCTTTTTTTTTTTTTTTTAATTTTTTAAAATTTTATTTGTGTGTGTGTGTGTGTGTGTGTGTGTGTGTGTGTGTGTCCAGCTCAGTCCACCAGGGGGCGGGGCTGGCTGGCATGTGGTGCTGGGAGATTGAACCGCGGTCCCTGTGCTTTGCTAAGCTTGTTCTAAGTAGGTGCTTTAGACCACTGAGCCATCTCACCAGCCCAACAACTAGGATTCTTTTTTTTTTTTTTTTGTGGAACCAGGGATTGAACTCAGGCCTTTGCGCTTGCCAGGCAAGTGTTTATTCTACTGAGCTATCTCCCTGGCCGGGTAATAAATTCTTCAAAAAATCAAGCCTCAAGTGTTTGGGGTTTCATTTCAATATAATTGTATATTTATTTACAATAAATCCCTTCTGGGGCCTGGGGAGATGGCTCAATAGAATAAGCGCTTGCCTGGCAAGCGCAAGGGCCTGAGTTCAATCCCCAGTTCCGCAAAAAAAAAAAATCCCTTCTGAACTATTTACTTACATTGATCATGTAAGGATTTCAACTGTGTATTCTTCTGTTAGTTATAGACATATCTTATTTGTACTTAGAGATGGAACAGATTGTATTTGAAATCTCAAAGTCAAGACATATTCAAATGTTGCCCTCTTATTTTTGTCACTGATAAAAGACTAATATTCCGATTAATTTAGACTATGAGGGGCTGGGGAGAGAGCTCAGTAGAATAAGCGCTTGCCTGGCAAGCACAAGGGCCTGAGTTCAATCCCCGGTTCCGAAAAAAAAACCCAACTTAATTTAGACTATGAATAATATAACTTGAGAGTATTGTGGGCTAAGTTTCTAGAATTATTATGAACAGTGTTTCGTAAAATTACCTGTGGAGAGAACCATTGCAGCATAGAGTTTCTTGATGTAACCTATTTTGGGACTTTTCTATTTCTTTTTTTTTTTTTTTTTTTGCAGAACCAGGGATTGAACTCAGGCCCTTGTGCTTGCCAGGGAAGCGCTTATGCCAATGAGCTATCTCCCCAGCCCCAAGACTTTTCTGTTTTTTTAAACTAAATGTTTATGGGGCCAAGGAGATGGCTCATTAGAATAAGCTCTTGCCTGGTAGGCACAAGGGCCTGAGTTCAATTCCTGGTTCCACCCAAAAAATAAAAAATAAAAAAATAAATAAACTAGATGTTTGGTATTACCTAAAATAACTATGGAGTTTTAACTTTTTGTGTGTGTGGTATTGGGGATTGATCAATCTTTTTTTAACTGTGGAGGGTGGCTACTGGAGATTAAGCCCAGGCCCAGAGCACTTAGCATATTACCACTGAACTATAGTCCTTTTTATAATTTTTATTTTTATTGTTGGTGGAACTGGGGATTAAACTCAGATCCTTGTACTTGCCAGAGAAGCGCTTATTCTAGTGAGCCATCTCCCTGGCCCTAATTTTTAAAACAGTTTTGAGATCTTGCTGTGTTTTCCAGCCTGGCCTTGAATTTTAATTCTCTTGCCTTGGCCTCCAGGTAACTGGAATTGTAGGTGTGCTATTACCCCTGACTCAGTAGATTTTTTTTTTTTTTTTTTAAAGTCTGTAGAATCTTCCCAAATAATTTTGAAAGTATACTTCCATACTGCAACTTGGAATTTAGAGAAATCCAAGACTTTGACTTAAAAGTAAAAAAGTTAAGTATGGGATACAGGTGTAGCTAGCGCAGTAGTAAGACATTTGCTTTGGTCATGGGTTCTATCCCCAGCACCACAAAAAGAAAAAAAACTAAAATTAAAAGCTGAATGTGTTGGCATAAGCCTGTAATACTGGCACTTGGAAAATTGAGGCAGGAGGACCCCTGTGAGTTCAAGGCTGCCCGGGGCTACGTAGTGAGTTCAAAGCCAACTTGAGCTACAGAGCAAGACCCTATCTCAAAAAAAAAAAAAAAAAATTAAAATTAAAAAAATAATAATAATAATTTTTGCCCAACATGCATTAAACAGCTTTGAGTTGTTTCTACCCTGAACCTTAGCATTTTAAAGATGGTTTTAGCTTAAACACTGGGCTAGTAGGGGTATGTATGTGTATTTCAGATTTTTAAAAATAAACAATGGTTTTCTCTTCTCCTAGGCAGTACATGAACAGAAAAGGTGGCTTCAACAGACCTTTGGATTTTATTGCATGAGAACTAAAATATTGAAGAATGATTTTTCCCCCTCATCTTGGTTGGAGTGTGGATTTTGTATTTTGTATTTAATATGCATCAAAACCAGGATCTCAGTTCTTCCTTCTTATAAAGTAAGAAAATCTTATTTATAATTTCCTCCAAAAGAGAACAGTTAAATACTTTTTTTAAAAAAGGAAATAACATTTAAGGCAATCATCAGCCGTATATTGTTTGTTCTTATTCCTATGGAAACTGTATATGTTTTCTTCTTGGATGCTTGTTAGAACTTTTTAAAAAACATGAAAGTAATTTGGCACGAGTTTCTTCAATAAAGCAACATTTCTACCCATTTTATATTTGATAAATATTTTTATTACTAGATAAAAAAAAACTCTAGACGTTTTCACACACAGATTTAGACAACTTTGATTCTTAGCAGTTTAAAAATTGGAGAATGAAAAAGTATAGCTTTGGATTTTTGTGCCCCTGCCCCCAGAAATTAGCATATATTGTTTTTTCCAAATATAAAAGGAATGTATGTTTATTATAAAAAATACTTGAGAGAAATAAAAAAATTAAAAGTAAAGCCAAAAATCATCTAATATCTACTCCCAGAAATAATAATAGCATTAACATTTTGGTATGTGTGTTTCCAGACTTCTGTGGGTATATTTGTATTTCTCAGCTCCACCTATAAGATCAAAATGTATATACATTTCTCTTTCTCTTAACCTTTTTTCCCCCGTGTATTATGCTCTTTTATTTTAATACTCTTAAACTGAGCAGTTGTAGATACTTACTAAGGAACAGTGAGATTTTCCCGTAACTCTGAGTTATAATGAAAACTGGAACTATGGTCTCTACTACATCTACATTTTTATCTTTTTTTTTTGCACATTTTTCTATTTGATCCATTATTTCCTCAGGTTCAGTTCTAAATGTGACATTACTGGGTGAGGCTAAGTGGTCATGTTATGCATGTTTTAAGGTTTTTGATGTGTATAACTAGAAGATAAAATATAGAAGCTATATATGTGTAGCTATAAGGTAAAATATAGCATTCTGATTTCATAAACATGCACAAATAGTAGGTGTAATTTTTTTTGAAAGTTTCTTATCTGATGGATAAAATATTTAGAGTTTTACTTTTGTTTAGTATCTAGAAAGGATAAATATTTTAAAAATATATTAGTTATATGTATTTCTTTTACTAATTCCAAATCTTACACCTGTTATCTTTTGGCAAGTTTTCATTTTTCTATTTGAAGGCAACAGTGTCTTTATTGAAGATAATAACCATCACCCACTCTGTTTATATCTTTCTGATATTTGAGGCTCTATGGTTAGATTTAAAATTTTATTTTAGGGATACCTACTATAAACATAGACATAATTCAGATATTACAATGACTATCTAGTGACAGGTAGTGGTGTATCCATTCAGAGATATTTCATAATTCCAAAACATACATTTTGTTGGAAGATAGAAGCATACTATTCTGTACTCAGCTTGTGTTTATTTACATGAAGCTCAGTGTGAAGACTGTAGTACTGAAAAATCCTCAGTACTGAAAAAAAAGTTATAGAACATTTGTATTACAGAGTGCTATGCTAATATTCTTGAAAGTAATAAAATGTGATATGGAAAAATAGCTACAACATACAACATATGTACAGAAAATTAGCTGTACAGTATGACTTCAGTTAGGCATAGAAATGGGTATCTTTTTGGCCTTAAGATAATTATATTTTATATTCTTCATTATTTTCTATGATGTATATCAGTGTTATACTCAGAAAACATAACTTAAAAAATCATGAATTTATCATGTTCTCTTACATTAAGTACTTGAGAATCTTGTTCAGTAATCCTTACAGAAGCTGTATCACTATATGGTTTTCTTTTCCTTCTTTTGTTTGTTTTTTGCAAAACTGGGGATTCAACTCAGGCCCCTGTACTTGCCAGGCAAGTGCTTGTTCTACTGAGCTATCTCCCTGGCCCCTTATGGTTTTCTTCTTAATGACTTCCCAATTTTAGCTTAACCTTTATTACCCACATAATAAATGGATACTTTTTTTGGTAGAAAATTTATTTTTATTTATTTATTTTTCTTTTAACTTTCTGCAAAGCTTTATTCCAGAGGGGCTCAGATCTTGGCAGCTGCCTCCCTCATGGCGGCCAGCACGTTGCTCAGCTCCTCGCGCTTCCTCTTGGCGCAGACGTGCGCCCCACCCTTTTCTTGAGGAACTTAAGGGCGCGCTTGTCCTTGGAGACCTCGAGCAGCTCCATGGTGCGCTGCTCATAGGGGACGAAGCCGCCCACCTCCCGGATCATGTCCCACGGGAACTTGGTGTGTTTGGTGAGGAGGCTTCCGCGATGGCGGCTGTGCCTGGGTTTGCTCACATTTTTAGTCACCTTGTGGCCCTTGTTGATGCCCGCAGCCATGGGATAGCAGAGGGCCACGACTACTGTTCTTCAATGGTTGTGTGGTGGAAGGCTGTAGAAAATTTAAAACAGTATAGCAATTTTTTTTCTTAATAATAGCTGCAGTCCCATTTCTCCTACTTATTTACTGATCGCTTGCATGTATCTTTCCTTAGTCTGTGCATAAAGGTAGGTCACAGAGTTGGAAATAAGGAAAAGTTGTAGTGTGGACCTTTTTTTTTAAAAAAAAAAAAAGTGCTGGTGATTGAGCACAGGGCCTTATGCAAGCTACGGGCAAGTATTCTGGCAGCAAGCTGCATGCTCAGCCTTTCCTTTTATTTTGAGACAGTCTCACTAAGTTGCCCTGGCTGGCTCTTCAAACCTGTGGTCCTCCTACTGGCTAGAATTACAGGCATGTCCAACCATGGCCAACTAGTTTATGTCTTTTTTTTTTTTTTTTTTTTTTGTATTTCAAAGAACAAAATTTTTTTAAAAAATCAAAATTCCTCAAAACTTTAACAAATAAAATTCATTTTAATGCCACAGTGATTAGGAAGTGTCAAACTCAGTTACAAGAAGAGGATTTTGGTTTCCACAAGTTTAGAACTTTTTAGACACTTTAGAACTTTTTAGGGATGAAGTGTCAGCAGTTTTTCCCGCCATGTGAAGTACAGAAGGGGCATCCCTCACTTGGAGCTCCTATTGCATGTAATGAGCCTCTGGCTCAGTGCTGGCATTAACTTTTTAGGTACTATTTTGTGCTCACCAAGAAGATAACCCCAAAAAGAGGAGACTGGACCTTAGCTTCCTAACACTCAGTAAAGATTTTCTAATAAATATATATTTAATGTTCTTATATCTCTCCATTTTCAACTGTACCTTTCAGTTCTATGAGTTTTTATCTTTTTGTTTTTTGCAGTACTGTGGATTGATCTCGAGACCTTGAGTTTGCCAGGCAGGTGCTTATGCTGCTGAGCTGTTTCCTAGCCCAGTTTTATTTATTTATTTTTGGCAAGGTGCGGTACTGGGGATTGAACTCAGGCCCTTGTGCTTGCCAGGGAAGCACTTATTCTACTGAACCATCTCCCCAACCCGCCCCCTAGTTTTATCTTGATATATGCTCAAAGCTATGTTTTTATTTCATGTTTATGTTGTTACACACAGCTTTTGTTTGGTTGGATTTTTAAATTTTGTTTTATTTTTCTTTTTGAGACAGGGTCTTGCTATGGAGTTTAGGCTGGCCTTGAGCCCACTTTGTAGCCCAGGCTGGCCTCAGACTCTCAACAATCTTCCTACCTCCGCCTCCCAAGTGCTGGGATTATAGGTATGCAGCACCATGTCTGCTACATGTAGATTTTTACTTAAAATTCTGGTCATAAAATTTAGGTTCAAACATTCTAGAATTTCCAACTTTTAGGAAAACTGGGCTACGCCTACCAGTAATTCATGTTTACATAATGCTTTCAAAGCATTAAGAACCAAAGGTCTTTAAAAAAAATTAAAAACATGCACTTCTGGTTTTCCTAATTAACTGGTCATTGTATATACAATTTGTGTAATATAGTTTTTTAAAAATTCATTTTAATGAGAAAATAAAATAGCAATAAAACAGTTTCAAAGCAGGTTAGTAGGATGGTTACAATAATTAATACATTGTATATTGTCTTCATAGTGGTTATTCAGGGGACAAGATGTAGACATATCTTGTCTAAACAATATAAATACAAACCTTTCTTCTCATTGAACTAAGAGAAAATAGCTGTATATCTCTCCCAGTATAGATATACAGATAGATATCCTAATAATTCACTACAAAATGCTCCTTTATTTATATCCCCCTTTTTAATTTTTTTTTGTCAGAGATGGGTGTTCCATTGCTGTTAGAGAAGCTATATTAGGAGAAGTCTTTTTTTCTTGCGCTTGGCAGGGAAGCACTTATTCCACTGAGCCATCTCCCTGACCCCTCTAGGAGAAGTCTTTAAAGGGCCTTTTCTTTGTTGAAATTGAACTTCTGTTTGGATTTGAAACTGTCTCATTGCTGTTTATCAATAAAACTTTGGAAAAAAAAAAAAGGACCTTTTCATACTTGATGCCAGTAGGTACTTGAATTCAGCAAAGTAACCCAATGTAGTCCAGTGGTCCATAATAGTAGTGGGTTATCAGCAGAACAGGTAATTGTTAGAAGTTGTTGACTTGAGCCTTTTACAGCTCAGCCTATTAATATGGCATTACTTTTTATACCTCATGCTTTGTGTAGTACAGTTTTTAGGGGGGAAAAAAAATCCCAATCCACAAATCCTTTGTTTTTTACTTACTCCTTCACTTCCAGTAGATGGCACCAAATACTCTTTGAAGTTCATGGTACTAATTCTTAGTTTCTGTTACTAGCTAATTGATCATTTCTTCCACCACTAGGGAATGAAACAGTACTTTTAAAAATCTTACTCTGATACATTATAACTTAGTATTTTTGTTTGGCGTATAAGCTGGACATGTTGGGATCTATTTTCTATCTCTGATTAATATTTGAAACACCCCACCCTTTTTTGAAAATATAAGTGTGATTTTCAATTTGGTGATTGTACAGGAAGGGTCATATTAAATAAGACTGAGTTAAATAAAAAGCTAAGAGAGAAAATATAAAAGGATATACTGAGTGTTCATAACAAAACAAAAAATGAACTATATAAAATTCAAAATATTAAGATAAAATCAAGGAGCTTTTAGTAATATTAGTTTAGGTAGTTTAATAGAATTTCATACATTTCACTGATTTTTAAATGTATTTTATAAATAACATGCAATTTAAAAGTCTGTAACACTGTTAGCTCAAGCCCACTCTCCTTTCCAACTTTGTTTCATGCATTCTTGAAGAACTTCACCACCAGTCTGTGCATCTAACTAGTATTGCCATATATATACAGAACTAGTTTAGATTCAGTTAACCATTAACAGTGGAAAATGTCTTTCCTATATGTTAAGAATGGTTTACTACATGTTTATTTTTGTTGTTCCAAGATTTTTAATTTGAATGGATTTATGAATCATTAAAAGATGCTTTGGGGAGTGGTGTACAGGAGGGTCTGCGCTTTACATACTTAGCCTTTTTTACTTATTTATTTTTATTTTGAGACCATGTCTTGCTGAGTTACCCTGGCTAAAACTGAAGTTGGAATCCTCCTGTTCCAGCCTCCCAGTGCTGGAATCATATGCCTGGCTAAAAGATACTTTTAAAAAATTTCCTGGGGCCGGGGAGATGGCTCAGTAGAATAAGCGCTTCCCTGGCAAGTGCAAGGGCCTGAGTTTAATCCCTGGTTCTGAAAAAAAAAAAAAAAAAAAATCCTGCCATGATTACATTTACATGTTTGTACTTCTTACCCAAGGTTTGATTGTCAGTGTTCTGTGATTCAGTGTCCAGGCCACCCCCCTCCCCTAAATCTGTTTATCAGCCCGGTGATTAAAACAACTACCATGGGAAGGATTGGTGGCTTAAGCTCTGGGTGAAACAGACTTAGGTTCATTTTCCAACCCTGCAGCTGAACGGAGGACAAGGTGTCCTGTGGCTGTTCTTTGTGTGCAAAGCATAGTGGCTAGCACAGCCTACCTCATGGGGCTGTACAGAGGATTAGAAATGATGTATGAAAATTACCTGACCCAGGGGCCAGGGAGATGGTTCAGTAGAATAAGTGCTTGCCTGGCAAGCACAAGGGCCTGAGTTCAATCCGCAGTTCCGCAAAAAAATAAAAAAGAAAGAAAAGAAAAAATTACCCTACAATCATATATTAGCAACAATAAATTTTTAAAAAATATATGGTCATGCTTTAGTCATTTCAGTTTTGGGAACTCTCATTTTACCGTTAGCTTTAGTTCTACTTTTATTTTTATTTAGGTTCTTTTTCTTTTTCTTTTTTTTTTTTTTTTTTTTTTTTTTTTTTGCGGAACCGGGGATTGAACTCAGACCATTTCCCCGGCCCTTTAGGTTCTTTTTAAATTGGAGATAGTACATTAATGTAACCTGGTTCATGTAAAATTTATTTTATTTTTGTCTTTTAGATACAGGGTCTTGCTATGCAGTTCAGCGTGGCCTTGAGCTCACTTTGTAGCCCAGGCTGGTCTTCAACTCACAACCACCTTCAGGCCCTAGCCTCCGGGAGTGTGGGATTACCAGAGTGCACCGCCACACCTGGCTAAAAAAAAAAAAAAAATTATAAATTCACAAAACAATCCTTGAACTTTTGTTCTGTCCATCTAATATTCTAGTAAGCATTTATCTTAGCCCCCCCCCCCCCCCCAGTGTATTCATCTGGTAGGAAGGGAAAAGAACCTCAAAGACGTTCAATTTTATTTTGTAGATACTGGAAAATTCTGAGCTTTTAAAACGCATTTGCACAGTTCAAGACCCTCAACCTGGGCTACAAAGTGAGCTCAAAGCCAACCCTGAACTGCATAGCAAGACCCTGTCTCTAAAAGACAAAAACAAAAAACACTGGCACGAGTTAACTGCCATCCCTTTGCGGTGCGGGCCGGGTAGTGCCTTTGGAGAGGAACTAAACATTATACACACGGCCCAATTCCAGTGCTCTCACGCCAGGCATCGGGCATTTAACAGGGTCGTGCTCTCCCCCTTCAGCCCCGCGGCCACGTGGCGCCCGCCAGAGCCATTGGTCCACTGCCCGCTCGCTAAGCTGGGCTGCGCTCCCGCTGGGCGACTTGTGGCGGAGCCCGGGTCTGCCAGAGTCCCGGGAAGCGTGGAGCCCCCAGGACTGCGGCTCCGAACCTGAGCTAAGCAGAGCGCCCATGACGCGATGTGCCAGGCTTCCATTCGAGGGACGCTTGGCAAGTTCCCGAAGTTTTCCTGGGAGACAGGGCCACAACAGGTCCAAGGCGGGCCGGGAGGGGTCGGGTGGAACCCAGCTCCGGGGCAGCCGGTGAATCAGCACCGCCCCGCACCCGGCCGGCCTCACTAGCCAACGCCGAACTTGAGGAAGAGTAATCCGGGCAGCTGACCCCCAGCCACTCAAGGCCCGCGGGGCCTGGCGAAAGGTGATATCATTGCAGCTGGGAGTTTTCTGAGGGCTCCACCAATGAAACCCAGGCGAAGTGGCTTGCTTTCTACAGCTCTTGGCCAATACTAACAAAGCAAAAAGGCTGTCCGTATAGAACCAATGGAAAACAGGGAAGGGGCACGAGGCGGAGTTGCGAATCCTGTCACCAATTGGAAAAAGGGGGTGGAGCTCGGGCCTTGTCAAGCGCGACCAACCAACGAAAGGAGCGGACTTTGAGGGGCGGAGCCTCTGTGCCTTCTGCCAATCGCACAAGCCCAGGGGTGGGGCATTCTTTCGTGCGCCCAATGAGGAACGCAGCCGAAGCGGGCCTGTCAAGAGAAGGGGCTGGGGGCGGGGGGATGGTGAGTCGGGGATAAACACTCCGCGGCGGTGGCGGCTTCTCTGCCCCGGGTTCTGTCACGGCATCGGAGGTGCCCAGCTCACTGACCCCCTCCCCCTCCTGACGAGCGTGGTTGCCCAAGAGGCTCCTTCAGTCCAGCTCAGCGGGGTCCACCCCGAGGTGCGGGTGTCCGGCGGCGAGCCCGTGGGCAGTGGGGGTTGGTCCCGTGGCTCCGGCCCCCGTGCAGAATGGCGACGGCGGTTCGGATGAACATCCAGATGCTGCTGGAGGCGGCCGACTATCTGGAGCGGCGGGAGAGAGGTGCACGGGCTTGGAGAGGGGTCTTGCCTGGGCTGGGGGTCTTAGGGGGCCGGGCCGGGGTTTGGGGTGCCCAGTCTCTCCGGGGGTGGTTGGAGACGCGGAGAGCGCGACCGCGAGCGCTCCCAACCCCTCCACTGTCCCCACGCGCGCTCTGAAGGGGAGGCCGCCGCTGGCCACAGCATTGAGCTGGGCGAGCAGGGGCTGCTGCATGGGTCCTGCGCCGCCTCCCCACACCCTCCGAGTGGGTGTCGGGCCCTCGCAGCCAGCCCTCTTCGGCTTTCCTCACCTGCGCGGGTGCTCCCCGCTGCCGGCGCCCCGTCCCCGGGGCTGGGGAGCAGTGCCTCCCCCGGCCCGGCCCTGCCCGGCCCGCTGTTCTGCCCCGCACCTTCGTCCCGAGGCTGGTCCCGCTTTAACCCGCACCAACCTGCTGGACGTTAGAATGGGAAACCCAGGCTCGGCGAGCTTGGCCACTTGCT